TGTCTTAACCATACCCGATTAAAACAAATCCCAAGTACATTTTAAAACATTCTTCCTCACACGTCCACCCCCCAAGGGCCTGCACATTTCTTTCAGGAACATCTGCCTATAAAAAGAGTAAGACCATTCCCTAGCAGAATACCTGTCAAACACCCCACGCTATGCTCAGCACATATTAGGGCTCATGACCGGGACACACCCTTCTCTTTCCCCTTCCTCAAAGGCGGATCACAATTTCCGAATGACAGAAAGGAAGATAGAGATGTCCCCCTTTTCTCTGAATAACCATCTGCCAGGCTTNCAGAGAACAGTGTCTCTCTCACTTGCCACCCACGACAGGTAACATGGCTTCCGAGCCTAGAGCAGAGTGTCCACAGCTTCCTTCTTTTAGAGGCAGAAGGCTGGGGTTGCACGGCCACGAACCAAAAATATGCAGGAGCTGCCTTTATTCTAGGACTCCCAGTCACACCAAACCTGTTCTACCCACCCATCCCCGCCACCAACTCTGAGTGGCCCAGTGACTGTGGATCCACGACCCATGAAATCCCAGTGCAGATTCAATCCAAGTCTCTGCTTTAAGCTCTTGTTTTCAGCCCATCTTCTCTATCCAGACGAAAGATATAAGTGAGGGTCCCCAAAAAGATAAGAGGGGGCTCTACATAAGGAAGAGGAAATACAAAGACCAGTCTCCAGCTTAGTTAAAGCCAGGCTGAAGCCAATACTGTGGTCCACCACAAGACTGCCTTGATTCCAACGAGTGCTTCTGGAAGGGTAGAACGCACCAGGGAGATGGCCACAGTGACCATCAGAGGACCTCAGTGACAGGTCTAAGTGGCCCTGTGAGTCCTCAACACCTTCGCATCTGCTATACCATTTGCTCTTTATATGACTCCCATTCTACAGCTGTGGACACTGAGGACCTGTAAGTTCAACAACTTACCAGAAGGGAATGGGCTGGAGAGAATAAGGGAGACCCCAGAGTATGAGGGTGTGTAGGGAGTGGGGGGTGAGGGATTAATTGCTTGCAGGCTGCATTAGGGCACCAGGGGTGGGCCCCCCCATAGGGGAGGGCACGGAGGAGGGGGCTGTGGGCATAGAAGCGGCAGGTGAAGACGCAGGCAGGGTGACTCTTTTACCGGAAGACAAAGTCGGCGCTGTTGATCTCCCTCCCGCAGCGGCTGTTCTTCAGGATGCCCCCGTTGCCCACCACTGCGCACTTCTTAAACTGGGACCGGTAGTAGGGCATGTCCTGGGGGAGGCGTAGGCACAGCTGTCAGAGCCACTGCCACCCCCTGCCTTCATCTGGTGCTCTCACCTCTGTGGCCATGCCCACCTCTCCTTGCTCATAGCCCACGAGACAACCTTGCAGGGAAGGTGGGAGAAAAGTGGTTTTCCACTTTACAGGTGAGAAAAGAGGTCAAGAGACTTGTTATTATTAGATGGCCCCAAAGGTCCCACCTATCTCTGATACCCAGGAGCCTGTGGGGCAGCTTTCCACCTAGCACACGCCAGCTGGCCAGCCCTGCATGAGAGGGGCCTGGCTGGCACCTCGGGCTCCCAAGGCGACCAGTGGCCAGGCGGGGGCTCATGGACAATCCCACTGCCCGGGGATCATCAAGAATTAGGCTATATCAAAGGAGATGCTGCATCGTCTGTGAGAGACTGTCCTTATTCATGGCCCATTTTCCCTGGAGGGACAGCCCGGGGGGCCAGGACAGGGAAAACAAGGGTGTCTCACAGGCAGAGGGGGAAACTGCACTGATTGACGTTTACCAGAGAAAGGGGAAAAAATAGTCATCTTTGGAAAAATCATCGAAGGCTTATTACATTCTACATGGGTGTTTCCCAAACTTCTGTAAATCAAGAACTACCTGCGATACTTTCTGAAAATATAAATTTCTGTGCTTCGTCCCAGAACCATGGAATCAGAATCTCTGGGAAAGGGACAGGAGGCTGGATTTTATATTTTAAATGGTTGGAAACAAGCCAAAGAATAACATTCTGTAACATGTGGAAATTCTATAGAATTCAGGTTTTAGTGTCTAATAAGAACTACAGTATCACTGGAACACAGCCACCTTCATTTGTTTACTCGTATCTCTAGCTGTTTTTGTGCTGGAATGATAGAGGTGAGTAGCGGTGACTGAGATAATATGACCTGCAAGGCCTATAACATTTACTGTCTGCTGCTTTCTGGAGAATGCCTGGTGACCCCCGCTCTATTTTGCTGGGCCTCAGCGGTCCATACCCCTGGCTCTCCTTGGACGCGTATGTCATACCAGGCAGTGTTTCAACCACTGCTGTTACCTGTGTGCGATGCAAGTCCACCTGCTATCCCCAGCTTCATGTTCTAGCCTTGCAAGGCCCACCTTATAAAGGTGGCCCAATGCCATCCTCCTCAGCACTGTGATGTAGGAGACACGTTTGACACTTCTCCCCCTCCACCCCTCCCCGGTGTCCCTGCGCACCAGTAACAGAATGCAGTGAAACCCTGGGCATTGTGTCATTAGCCTCGAACCTCGGCATGCAGATGTGCCCCCACTTGGCATTTCTACAAACTGGACCCACTAAGTCTTGCCCTGGGCACAGAGCTCTCTAGGGCCCCTTCTCGGAGAGCCTGGTGCAGGGGATCCACACCAGCGGTCAGCCCAGGTGAGTGCAGGTGCCCATGTCAGTGATCTGAACAGTTCATGTATGTGGATCACTCATTCTGTGGTCCCTCATTACCAGGGCACCACCATGCTAGCCCTGAACAGCCTACCTCCAGGCTTCTTTTATGTGAAAGGGGAAAAAAAATGTCTATCTTGTTTAAGTCTCTGACAGTTTAGATCTTCTGTTATAAGCAACCAAACCTATTCCTAGTCTAAACCCCAGGGTTATAGACAAGGAGACTGCAGTTTTGAAAGAAAATGACTGCCCAAGGTCATCTGATGTGAGCTAGATACTTCAGTGCCTTAATTTGTGCTGTAGTGTGCTTCTTGTACGTACAACCTTTGCATATGGGTTTTCACTCTTCTGTCTACCTCAGGTGGGGACAAATGCTTAATCATTCTCCCAGATATCTGCAGGATGTCCTCTGCAAGTAATGCAATACCCGCAATTGTATAACCACTTTCTTGCCAAAAGTCACTCAAATAATGGACAGTTGGCATTCATCATGCCCAGACAGAACCCCCAAGGAAACACAGAGGGTGGGCTACTGGGGCTAAGACAACAGGTCAACCAGGACCAAGACAGCTGGGTGCAAAGGGCAGAGGATGAGTCGTACAAAACTGCAGGGGCACTGCCACAGAGGACCACAGATGGCCCTGCTCCCTCACACCTCCCCCCCCCAGACCGCCCCTGCCCGGAGCAGCACCTTAGGAAACATGCGGAAGATCTCCTGGTTGATGTGGTAGATGCCGCTGGTGTCCACCTCATACTTGAGCTTTGTCCCCAGGGGAGTGTTCTTCTGGGTGGTGAAGAGAAAGGCAGGGGCATTGCAGCACCTGGACAGAGTGGACCTGCCGGGCAGGGAGACAGGAGGGAGAGCCCGGTGACGCAGGACATAGCAAAGCCTCATGAAGAATAGAGGGGTCATGGAGCTGAGCCCTCTCCCCTCCGCCCCCCATTCCCACCTCATTCCCACCTCTGCTCCTGCCATCCCCTCCCCTTTCCACACTCCTCCCAATGCCCAGGCCTTTCCGCCTCTCCTGATGCTGCCCTTTCAGGGTCCAGGCCAGGTTTCTGTCCATGAAGTCCCCAGCTGCCCCCGTCCCCACCGACCATACTTGGCACTGAAGACCTGGAGCACAGACTGAGAGCCACACGCTCATCATCTGCCACCCCTGTCACGCTTGAGTGGAAGCCCCTGGGTGGCAGGGACCCCAGCTCTCCAAATCCTGCACAATGTTAATCACGCGAGTAGGTGCCACCACTCACGGGATTAGCCATTCCTCACCTGAGCCTTCCTCAGGATCTGCGCGCACGCTACCACTTCCTGGAAACATGCTATGTCGGCTTCCTTTAGCCAGCCCTAACTGAACACCGGGGGAGGCAGAGCTCCGCCCTAGGTTCCGTGCTCACCTTGTCTGCGGGGTCACAAAGCCAAGACACACACAGTTGAGAGAAATGTGCAATTTCAATCATTTAGAAACTGATTTAGGAATGGGGAGGGTCAGAAACTGGGATGTTGGGTTGATACTGGCTGGCTTCCTGCAGAAAGTGGAATCTGTCTTCCAAAAGAAGTTTTTAGGAGTTCATTATTTAAAAAAAATAAAAAATCCCTGTAGTTATCATTGTAGAAATACTCAAACATGACTACAGAAGGGTTAAAGCTCAGATGCAGGCTTTATTATTTACTTATTTATTGGTGGCTGGCTGGTACCAGGATCCAAAACTATGACCTCAGTGTTACAAGGCTGCACTCTAACCAACTGCACTAACTGTCCAGACAGATACAGGCTGTAAAAGCAACCTGCAAGGGAGAACGTGGCAGGTGAGGCAGGCTCGGGAGTCAGCCAGGCCGGGGAAGCTGATTTCTTCTCTTCTCTGCAGCTGGAGTTCCACCCAGCAGTGCATTCTCTGAGGTGGGCTGGCTAATGATGCTTCATGATAGAGTCAGATCCTGGGCACATCTTGCTCCTCCCACCCTGGGGACCCAAAGCCCTGTACCCTGGCTGCAGAGGGCGCTGGACTTGATAGGGCACAGATCACCACTGCCCTCACATCAGGTGCTTTGAGCCCACAGAATCCACTTCCTCCAAAAACAGCAGCAGTGAGCTGAGCACATACTGGCCACCCTCTTCTGACAGACACTGGCTTCAGGAACAGTCACATCTGGTGTCCAGGATGCTCTGGGAGGAAAGGAACAGCTTCTCCAGGAAGCCCATGTGAAGGCCACTAACAAAGAATGAGGAGAAGCTTTCTGATAAGTTCCCAGCAAGGCCTGGGATGGAAACTGGGATTTCCAATCTAGTGTCAAGAGGCCTGGATGCTAGTTTCTCTTCTGTCCCAACCCTCGGGCTCTGGGAAGATCTCTCCCCTCTCTGGGCCTCAGTTTCCTCATATATAAAATGCAGAGTTGGCTCGTCTACCTCTGACCCTCTGTAGTTCTGTGACTCCATCTTGCCAAAGGTTATACGAATTATTTTTTATGACTTTATCTCTTGCAGGGACTTCACTGGGGAGCCCAGCTTGCTGCTAGCTGCAGAGAGCAGTCTTTGCTATGGAGAGTTGGGTTTCAGAATGTGACTGAGGCTTCCCAGAGGAGAGGCCAGAGGTCTGGCAAGGCAGGGGCCGTGGGTCAGCATTACAAACCAGCATCTGGCCCTTATAGCTTTGCTGGTCCAGAAACTCATTTTGTCAGCCCACTGCAGAGTACCTGCACTGAAGGAGACTGACTCATACTAACCAAACTCATGAGTGACTGATGTACAAACCAAAATGCCAGTGTGTCTATTTGTA